ATTTGCAAATTAAACCTAATTTTCTAATTAATTTTATTTATGAAAACAAAAGAATTTAAGTTGCCCTAATTAAATTAATCTAATTAATTAATGAAATAAAATATTTTTTGAAAAAAAAAACTGACTTTAACGTTTTTTTGTGATTTTTTGATTTAATAAAAAAATGATTTTTTTTTTGTTTTTTTGTAAAATAAAAAAATAAATAAATGAAATAGAATAAAAAAATAAGAAAGAAAAAAACAAAACTGGGCCTAATGTTGTTAGCAATATGGGGGTGTAAGGAATTGAATTTGTTAGGCCTATTTTGTTGGCCCAGAACCTGCATGTGATTCAATGCAACTGGTCTTCAGAAGGTCCACCACGCGCCTGCATGCTTGAGACGTTAGATCTGGGATGAATATGATCCAACGATGAGGTGCTGTGGTGTATGATAGACACTTGGTTGCGTGGCGTATGGAATCCTGCAAAGCGTGTTAGGAAAATAAATAAAATGCCTGGACCTGGGATCGAACCCAGGTCCTTCCTCTTACCAGCGTTACCCCTTGCCATTTGTGCTGTCTTGTTTGTTTGTTAATACAATAACATAATAACATTATAAAAGAAATAAAATGCTATGCCTCAGGAAGCGCGCGCGATTTCAAATCCTCTAATGGTTATCAGCCACATCATCGTCTTCTCCCCAGACTGTTGTCTTTGATGCCAAACCTTTTACCTACGGACAAAACTGTCACTAAAGGCTATAGTGACAGTTTTTGTCCATAGCTGTAACCCTTCAATAATAAAAAACATAATACAAGCCAAATAAATCCTAACTAAGGGCATAAATCAATTAGAAATTATGCCCTGAGTTCATTGGTACCCTTGATCTGTCCTAATTTCGCCTCTATAGAGAATCCCCAATTTGAAGCTTTGGAACCCTAACAATGGCATATGATTATACCTGCGCTCAAACTTAAATTGGACTATCCAGACACATTCATGTGATGATTATGAACACGAAAATACAGTCAAATAGCATTTATAATGTATAAATGAGTGAAATCGAGATTGAAGAAAACGTGAACAAACCGTGAGTGTCAAGATGCGATTCTAGGTGCTTTCGTGCGGACAAATGATGTTGTTAGCTTCAGGAGATGTCCAGGAACGTATTGCTGGACTTGGAATTGCTTGAAACGGCCCAGGGAATCAAAACTGACCTGCACTTTTTGACAAAAAAACTGAGTCTTGTTATTGTGATTTTCATGACCCAATCCTTGTTTTTTAGCTCTGGGAATGCTGTGCATATATAGTATGATCAATTAGGTCAATAAAATTGGATTCAATCTTTGCAAATTTGTGAGAAAAGATTTAATTTGTTCCTTGCATTATTTGTTTCTAAAACAAGCCAAATCATGCTATTTTTGTTCCAATCAACCTTTACACGATTTGATCTTTGTTTGACAGCATATATCATCTTCATTCAATGCCAAAATCATCCCAAAATAAATTTATATAATTTATTTGATTTAATTTGGATTTTAAATGATTAAAAATCAAAATAAATCAAATAAATAAGCAAATGATGCATGGAGTGGTTCATGGGTCGTGGACCATGTTAGGAACAAAATGCAAGCATAAAAAGTTGGACCCATTTGAAGAAAAATGCATTTTGGGCATGGTTGACTTTGTGCAAATTTCCAAAAATGGCCAACTTTGACAATGCACATCTCTCTCAATTTTGACCCTAAGAGGGTGTTCTTGGAGTTTTTAGAAAGCTTAGAGTGTCCTATAAACAACCCTTTTTGTTTCATCTCAATTGGATCTTCCATGTTCATGTAAGAAGCTTTGATACAAAAGGTGTTTTTGTTGACTTTTTGAAATGACCTATAATGTCTGAATTCATATCTTTTCATGAGTGCATTTTTTGAACTTAAGGGATGAATACGAGTTGTAGGGAATTACATCCTCTTCACAATGAGCCTTGGATGTTAAATTTATGATAAAGTATGAGAAAGTTACGCCTGGTCAAAGTTTGGTTGACTTTTCCTATAGAAACCCTAATTTAGCAACTTTTGAGTTTTGATGAATTTGGGGCATTCCTTGAGGAATCATGATCAACCCTTGATCAAATGATGGATGTTACTCCAAAATGTTGATGTTGACCAAAAACCTTGAAGTTTGACTGTATGTGGGGCCACAGTTCACTTTTGAGCTAGTACAATTGATTTTCAGGTATTTGAGCAGTTGACTGAGCAAACTTCTTGTGCAAGGCATAATACTTGACATGGATGATCTTGAGGACATATTAGGGAAATGGAAACCATTTAAGACCCTTGTAACTCAAACATCTTGATGAGGAATGAAACCCTAGTTTGAGGCTCATTGTCTTAGGAGGAGGATTTGTCTGGTTAGTTCTTAGGCATCCTTGGGCAAGTTGAGTACCTCTAGGAATATGTTTCTGAGTAAAATGAGAGGGAAAATTTTGGGGTACAACACATTCCAGAAGTAGAGGGAAGTGACCAACATGTTTTGGCAATAAAGAGGGCCAACCCTCGATAACTGAATCAGATCGAAGATTCCCTTGTCTTTCTAAATTTGGCCTATTTCCTTTTCGACTTTGTCTAATCACGAGACATAGTCTACATTAACCAAAGGAGCGGAATGAAAGACCCTAGCGGTGCGAAACAAATAAGCTAAGTCTGTGGGTTATTTTTCACTAACCTTAGATTTAGTATGATGGTACGCAAGAAAGAATTCTTTAATCCTATCAATGTCTCTAGAAGGAATAAGGATTAGACCCATGAAAGCATGGGTATTGTCAGCTATGGTAACATGAAGAAGTACCTGAGATTTGAATATTCAGAGCTTTTCTTCCTTCAATGGTGGCTCAGGAACATATTCTCTATTTCTAGCCACAATGGGGTCACTGATCTTGGTAACGAGAGGCAAAGTCTTTAAATTTCTTTTGATTCTTGGTTTTCAAAGATGAAGCCATTGTTAAAGTTAATAAGCTGGAAGTGGAAGAGTTTCAGAAAAAAGGTTTGAACTTGCAAGTTGCGAAAATCGAGAAGAAGAACATAAATGAAAAAAGGTATTTATAACCGTGAAGGAAAACTCTTCAATTTCTGCAATTCATACAAATGGCGCCAAACTTTTTGGTATGTGGCAAACGTTGATTGAGTGGAATTTAGCAGCTTGATTTTATGGGCCACATTATTCTAGGAAGTTGGAGCTAGTAAGTAGGGTAGTGGTGGTTATGAGTCTCTGAAATGAGAATTGATTAGAATGTCATGATGACAATGACGTCAATGGACTTTATCAAATAGTGTGAAAGAAAGATCGAAATTGTCTTCATCTCCTTCCAATCGAAAGAGATATTTTATGGGGCAATTTGTTAGCTGGGATTTTCGACAAGCCTCAAATTCCAACATAGCAAAGGGGAAGATGAGGAAAATTTTGGTGAAGATTCTGGTGATGTTCAAGAACATGGTTGACGTACATGCTGGCATCATTTTGACATGAAGGTGGCAAACTAGGCTGTCGAAATTTAGCTTGGAAAAAGAGTTATGGACTTAATAGTATTTCCAAGCAACAAGTATAGACATTTCGACCAAGACAGTTGATATGTACAAACATGGTTAAATAATCACTTTTGGCCTTGCCCGTATTAGAAGGACGTGTGGAAGCAAGAGACATGTAATGGAGAACGTGACATATTGTGGAGAAAAACCCGCATTTAGCAGTTATTTAGACTTCAGCATAATAGTAGTTCTAACAATAGAATTAGGGGTGTCAAATTTACTATTAAACTAAAAAAACTCAGTACCAAGCGAAGAGAGAAATGAGTTCCCAGAGTGAAATGTACTTTTGATCGCCAGTTTACATCTATGCATAACTTTACTTTTGAATCTACATTCCTTTTCCTTGTTTTCGTTGTCGAACTCTTTACTTTTTCAGTCAAGTTTCACTTTCATAATGTGTTTTCGCCCTCTGTCGAAATCATTCATACTCTTACTATTTACATATTATTTAGAAAACTTCACGCACATTGTTTTGAGACTCCCTAGTCGGTCTCACAAGTAACATTTAATAAGAGATTAGCAATGTTTACCAAATTTCAGAGCAAACACATTCCTGGGTGATTTCTCAGTCCTCCTGTACCACCCCAATTCACCTGTTGGATACCAGATACTTCATGCTCAAATACAGTGTGAACATGACAACCCCAACAGGTTGAGGGTGAGCCACCCCATGATGAAGTTGTATGTTGATGAGGTGTCTACTACAAGGTATTTGACCTTGATTGTCTTTGCATCTGTCCTCATCCCAAACATCAGCTCGAGTGTAATGTGACATTTCTCCTTTACTTGCTCGTCTGAGAGACCAACCAATGAGCCTTGAAATATTTGGATGTCACGTGAATCAAGTCGAAGTCCCTCAAAGGCGTTCTAGAATAGAACACCTAGTGCTTCCGGGGTCAATCAACACTCACCCAATTATCATATTGCACAATAATGACCTTATCATCATTGTTATGAGGGAGGAAATCAATAGCATCTTCGTTGGAGAAGGTGATCTTGGACTATGCCTCCTTTCCAAAGCCTATTTCAAGACCGACGACTATATAGCTCGCTATCAAAACTTGTCTAACATATTTCTAGAGAGAAGAATTAGATTCTCCACCACAGATAAATTTTCTTGCAATGGTGTTGACTGTGGTATCTGAGCTTCGCTTCGCCATCCTCATGAAAAAAGTGGCGTAAGTGATTGGTCAATGATACTAAGTGTGGCCTAAATTATTTTATCGGACTCCATGGTGTATGTACTTGTTAAAAAAAGTACAATAAATATAATCTTATAGGGTTATATATGATGTTTAGAGTTGTTGATACTAGCTAAAGCTATTAGATAGACGAGAAGCTATATACATATGGTTTAAAAAACTCCAATTTTACTAGTATACCGCTAAAAACTCCAATTCTACCAACCACTACCGCCAGTTAGCTACAACAGAACAAGTGATGGCGATGACCCCCCACCGCCACCGCATAGCGACGCTCACTCACCGCTTATGTTCCTCCTACTCCACCACAAAACCGCCCACACTCTACACCACCAACACCCCCGACTCAACCACAATCCAACTCCTCTCCTGGGGCAAAGGCGCCTCCGGCCAACTCGGCGGCGGCGTTGAAGAAACCCGTCTGTACCCTTCTCCTGTCACCAATCTTCTTCTCCCGAAATCCTCTTTCACCCTTTTCAAAACCCCCGGGGTTCTGCCTGGGTCTGAGGGGAGCAGTAAGGTTGTGGAAATGGGTATCTCGTGTGGGCTTTTTCATTCTTGTTTGGTTGTTGATGGAGCCGTTTGGGTTTGGGGGAAAGGTGATGGTGGAAGATTAGGGTTGGGGCATGAGAATTCGTTGTTTGTTCCTACTTTGAATCCTCACCTTGATAATGTGAGGTCTGTTGCTCTTGGTGGGTTGCATTCCGTTGCGCTTACTTCTGCTGGTGAAGTTTTTACATGGTCAGAATCACTTCAACCTTTTGCTTTGTTTAATTTAACGCCTTTTTTGATTGCATTGTTTTGTTTTAGACTCTTTCTGTATATTAATGTATGTCATAGAAAACTCTATTCATCTATGTAGCACCGACACTGAAGGTGTCAGTATCGTGTTTGAAACTGACAGGTTAGGTTAGGTTTAATTTATTCATTTTCAAATTATTACCTTTGTGGACATGTCAGGGTCGTGTTTCCGGTGTTGTGCTTCTTAGGCATTCATCCTTCAATGTAAAGAAGCGCAGTCACAAGCACAGCCTCAAAAACGACATGGACACATATTCTGAAGTATAAATACAAATCCGACACAAGACACAACACCGTTATGATTTAAGAAAATTGAACTTTTAGAATGCAACTACTTGTGTGGGTGTTGTGTCAGTTCATATACTACTCACACCTTCTATATGAAGTGTTCATGCTATATGACTAGACACTAAACTAGTTTTCAATCCGGAAGTGTCGGTGTTGCATAGTTTAATGTTGCCTAGAAGAATTGATTCTGAAATTAATTCAAGAGGTTGGTGAATAGTACTTATGTTAACTAAAACATCATAGCTTGACAAAGAAGGGTAGTCATGAATCATGATCAGTAAACTTTTCAAAAGAGGTTGTGTTTCGGAGGGGGTTTGATAATAAACATTATTTTGAATTTATTTGGTTAACATTGTGTTGGGGTAGCACCTATAGTAAAAAAGATGGTAAAAAATAGACTTAGGTGGTTTGAACATGTAGATAGAAGACCAGTAGATTTTGTAGTAAGGAGATTATATCAGATGGAGAGAAGTCAAACAACTAGAGGTAGAGGAAGACCTAAAAAAACTATAAGAGAAGTTATTAAAAAAATCTCAAGATTAACGATTTGGATAAAAGCATGGTACTAGATAAAAAATTATGGCGAAAGCTGATCTCTGTAGCCGATCATACTTAGGGGATAATACTTGGTTGTTGTTGTAAAATTGACTTTGATTTAAAATGCTTTAAGTTTGGATGTTTTAATTCTAAAAGAAATTTGTATATTCAAGTTTGTGTAAAATTTTCAACCTACCCAACAGCTACAATATAGAAGTTCTAGGCAAACTGAAGTTTAGATGTAAAATTACTTCTGATACAAAACAACCAAACATACCAAAATTAAGTTTGTCCGAAGGCAATGCCTCTCATCCAATCGTAGTGAAGCTCTACCGCTTCCTTCCACAAAGTTGGTATCCATTGCATGTAAATTACAGCTTTCAGAATTATTTATACTTTTTTGTTTTTTTTTCTTAAATGTTTATTCAACAACTTTAAGGACATTGTTCAGCCTGTGAACATTTTATATAATTTGAAGGAGTTAAAAAATTTATAAATTTATGATGAGATGAACATTTAAAGTTTTATGCAGGTCATATATCCATTTTCTCTTATCTGAATAACATTAATATCTATGGATGAAAATAAAGTTTGCAGGGGTTATGGTGGTTTCGGTGCCCTTGGACACTCGGTATATCATAGAGAGCTATTCCCTAGGTTGGTAAAAGGCTCCTGGGAGGAAACTATAAAACACATTGCTACTAGTGGAGCGCATACTGCGGCAGTAACAGAATCAGGTTTTTTTTTACGGACAATAATACATTATTTATCACTTTTAAAAGCAAAGTTTTGATTGACGAGTTGTTAGAAAATAAAGTTATTAAAATTTTAAGCTGATATCACTTCAATTGTGTTTTTGTCTTGTCTTTTGTCAAATATTTATTTTCCATATCTTCTAGCCCTACATTTTTCTCTTTCTCTCTCTCTCACTTCAAATGCAGTTTTACTGTGCACATCCAATGGAAACCCCAAAATCAAGTGAGGAGATGATACTGAAAATAAGAGGTAACAATAGATAAGTTGTAGTATTTTATGATAATAAAACGATAATAATAGTAGATGATTTCTCTAATTACTCCCAAAGGAAAACTCCGACACAACACAAAGAGACATCCTACGTTGCCCCTTACAAAAAGTTATTCCCAACGTACCTTCCAACTTCTAGCAATTCCCCTTCATATATAAATTACGTGAACATTCTATTATTTAACCCTAATTGCTAGTTCAGACGCATTTCCATCACTCCCTACTCTGCAGTGTTCAAGCAACTCATACTTCAGCCCCTCCCAAGTTAGAGCCTCATCTTCCTCAACCAATGTCTTGAAAGAGAAAATGGTAGACCTATCCATACAGGGTTAAGCCAATTCGACTTTAATTTCAGGACGAGTGTCTTGAACATGGGAATACACTTCAGCTTTCGCTATCCAACCGACCGAGTCTACACTTCAGCTTTCTACTTCATCTTAGTTGAGTTGAGCCAATCCTCCTTCTAACATATTGATTGATGTCATGCTCGATAGAATTAAAAAACCAGCAAACACTATTAAAGAGGCCCTCAAGCTTCAATCAAATTAAATTTGAATGAATAGTACCGATGCAGTGAACAGTGTTCTGGAACAAACAATCTTTGCAATGGATAATATTTTAATGAACAGTAGTAAACAGTGAATTTCTGATGAACAATGTTCTGGAATTCCACAATGAAGGCGGAAAGTGTTTTTGGAATTCCACAATGAAGGCGGACAAACAAAATAAACTGCAATCATGGCCGTAGAAAAACCCATCACTATAATACCTTGGGTTTGTCTATACTATCCTTATCCTTAATTACCTTCCCATCACCAAGGTAGAAAAATCCATTAAGAAAGGGTGGTCAAAATTTGTGGATGACCGGTGGAAGAAAATGGTCTTGGAGATGAAGACATTATTATTGTAGAGTTCCATATCTTAGGGAACTTAGTAGCAGAACAGTGACAAGATAGATCATGGAGGATGGTACCTTTTTGATACCATGTTGAACAGTTGAAGTTATAGGGTTTTAGTCTGATAAGGAAGGACGAAAGAGAAAGAATTAAGATTTTGAATAAGGAAACAAATTGAGAAACAAAGATGAATATAGAAACCAATCCTAAGATATTCTAAATTTCACTAAGGTCTGATTCTAATATTATGGGATATTTTTCATATCTTATAAAATCATCGTCTATGATTTTATTTTTTCCTGTCTCTCTAGTGTACAACTTTCCAAGACTAGATGTTCCGATGATTATACACACTTTGAAATTGATGGCATGCTTATTTTGATGTAGGTGAGCTTTATATGTGGGGACGAGAAGAAGGAGATGGTCGATTGGGTCTTGGTCCTGGTCGGGGCCCAGATCATGCAGGTGGACTTAGTACCCCTTGCAAAGTAAAAGAGTTACCTTTCCCTGTTGCTGCTGTTTCTTGTGGGGGATTTTTCACAATGGCATTGACAGAGGAAGGACAACTGTGGAACTGGGGAGGTATTTGTCATATCCTTTATATGATTTATTTTCTCTATTTCTTTCCTCTTGGAAATAGCACAAGCCATTTATGCAGTGTTTTAGTTTTGGAAAATTCACAATCTTGGTATTTTATCAGCAAATTCTAACTATGAACTTGGGAGAGGGGATAAAATTGGTGGTTGGAAACCAAGACCAGTTCCTAGCCTTGAAAAGGTTCGAATAATTCAAATTGCAAGCGGAGGATATCACTCCCTTGCGTTAACAGGTAAACTGATGCAAATTCATGCGACTTTAAGCTAGGAATACATTTCATTTTTATTCCCAATGGTTTGTATCGTTTTAAGTATTTCAATCTTGATTTATATTAGATGATGGCAAAGTACTTTCATGGGGCCATGGTGGACAAGGTCAGCTGGGTCACGGATCTGTCGAGAGCCAGAAGATACCAACATTAGTCGAGGCTATAGCTCATGAGCATATTATATATATTTCTTGTGGGGGTTCGTTTTCAGCAGCTGTCACAGGTAAGATGATTCATCTCACCTGGCATATCTTACTATATACAAATTGTTTACTGCATTACAAAAGTAACTTTTATCCTTCACCATGAGTCCTCTAGAGTCTATAGTCTAATGACCTGCTCGAGCGTATTTTTAATATGGTGCTCCAAAATGTACGGCAATGTTAGCTATATTTGATGGTGCCACCATTAATTACTTTGCAGTTACAATGTCAACATATATTAAAATTGAAACCATGATCTGTTTTGTATCTCCATGTTTTCTTTAATGAAGTTATGTTAGACCTTAAGAATTAGTAAGAACTAAAACTGAATGTGGCCTCAGCCAAAAAAAAAAAACTGAATGTGGCCGTTCTATTCTGTCAGGCAGTTACTTTTTATTAGCAATTACTATTTTTAGTATTAACATTTAGCAGCAGTTATTAAGTATTTATTTGGGGAGTGAATAAAATGAGGAAACTGTAGGTTAGATGGGTTATCCGAGAAGATTAGAAGTGGTTATTTGGGAGGGAGAGACCAAACTCTCGAATTCTTGGCGGGAGAGAACCAAGACTCTTGAAATTCTTGGAAACTCATTGTAATTACTATTAAATTTCATTGTTTGATACTAGTTTTTATCAAGTTACTTGTGAAACACTCCGATGACTAGAAAAGTTTAGAGGTTGAAAGATTTGGGTGCTGAAAATTGTTGAGCTGTTATTCTTTGTTAATGAAACATAAATATTAGAATTTGGGTTGAGTTTACTCAACCCTAAAAAAACGGTTGGTGAAGAGTCTCTACTTATAAACATATGTTCAAGACATCTCTCATTAAATATGTGACTTTTAAAGCACCTCCCTTACGCTTAGGATCGGAAATCTGGAACGTGATCTGAGTGATCCGATAGCGGAATGAGTGTGACCTAAGAAATTCTTGATACCATAATAAATTTGGGTTGAGTCTAAGTCAACCTTACAAACTGGTGAGAACTATCCCTATTTATAAACATATGTTCAAGTCATCTCTCATTCAATGCATGCCTTTTATTCGTAACTGTCATCTATCAAGTTTACAATGATATAGCATTGTGGACTGGCATGAGTCAGGAATTTACAAATGCATTTGAAACCAAAGTAACCAAGTTTACAATGATATAGCATTGTGGACTGGCATGAGTCAGGAATTTACAATTGCATTTGGAATCAAAGTAACCGTGTTTATCTAGTTCACGATCTGGTTTCGTCTATAAGAGTATGGTTATCAATTTCAAAAGTTAATTTAGTTCTAATCTGGTTTCGTCGGTATGAGTATGGTTTTGTCGATATTAGTGCAAATTTTAACATTTACGTTTTGGTTCTGATCAGATAAAGGAAAGTTATACACGTGGGGAAATGCCTCAGATTCGCAATTGGGTATTCCTGGACTACCAGAAATACAATCATGCCCTGTTGAAGTCAATTTTTTAATGGAAGATGATGGATTGGGACCACACAAGGTTTTATCAATTGCAAATGGCGCATCACATGCAATGTGTTTAGCTTTGCGGGAAAGTTGTTGATTATGTCCTGTTGGCATAGAGATAGTTGATCTTGAAGAAGGTACATTTCATAGGTGAAATGCAGAAAAAGTTTTTCTTTTTGTGGAGTACAATTTCTCAATGAATAGATGATGATAACCAATTATTGTTACATTGGATTCAGATCTCAAACTCATTATCAAGTTCTACTGGAGTGGGTGTTTAATAATTTTTTGTGGTTATTGTGATCAATGAACTAATTCGGTTTTGACAACTTTATATTGTTGTAACTAACGTGACATGAAGATCAACTCACATTTGAAGAATTCTTGTTAAATGTCTGGTTCTTCACTTGCATTTTTTGTTCTAGGCAATATTGTTAAGAGCACATGTTGAGAATTCATAAATGAAAATTTTAGTTTGAAAAAATAAATAAAAAAATAAATTATAAAATTTTAATGAAATTAAAGTACAAATTTTAAAACAAAATTTATACTTTCAATTTATCAACTTTTTAACATATGCTCTAATGCCAGCTCGGTTAATATGTTATTTAGAAAAGAGAATTGATGCTTTCCTCTTTAGGAAATGGATCCCCTAGATTCATCTTTTGTATGCATTCATGTAAGTAATCACTATATTAGTAATTGTTTGATCTTAATCACACAGTAGTAAAAAAATAATTAAATTTTAAATTTTAATTAAAAAATATTAATTTTAAATCAGAGCCGTTTGGTTTTAATCAATCGGCTAAAGAAGCTTGCCTGTGTGATTGCTGCATCTGAAAGCTGAACGGATCGCCATGACCCACTCAATCCAAAAAAACGGATCGCCCGTTTATTTAATCCATCCAAGTTAGTCGGAGCCCCGATCCAACTACTCACAAACCCGTTCTATTCCGCCACGTACGTATTCCTTCCCTTCTATCTTCACCCGTGAAGCATGACCATGGCCGCAACAATAAGAACCGTACTTTCCGTTGCTCGTTCCACTTCAACCTCTTTTCACAATCCAACTGAAATTTCAAACTCTCTCTATATCCTCACTTCTTCCCATCCTCATTTCTCCACTTCTTCTTCTTCCGGCAAGTTAATCATAATCATCACTCTCATTTATCATTATGCATTTATTTTTTTTGTTAATTAGTTGATTAATTGATTTCTTTGCGATTGTGTTTTTTTTCAAGATCAGAGGATGATTTTGGAGAAATCAGTGATGGTAGATTTAAGAAATGGAAAAATGGAGGTGGAATTTTCCATGAATCGGCTTGCATTGATGCCACTGCTTTTGTAGATGTTGGTGCTGTTGTTCATTCGGAATCTGTTGTTGGTTCGAATGTTCGTATTGGTTCTGGAACTGTTGTTGGTCTTTCTGTTGCGATTTCTCATTCGACTAAAATTGGGTACGCTTTTGCTTTTTAAATACTGCTATGCTATGCAACTTTGTCATCTCATTTTCATTTTTGTGTACGTTTGGTTTCACCTTAGGAGCACACATAATTGATTCTGAACGTTTAAAGTTGATTTTGCCATGTTTGGTTTGGCTTTTAAAAGAGCCAAAGGCAATTCTAGAGGTGGAGAATTGATTGTGTGGTGATTTTAAGATGTTTGATTCTTTTAAAGTAGAATTGATTTTGCTTCTAGAATTGATTCTACTCGAAGCTATAATTTATAGCTTCTGAAGTTAAACTTGATCAACCCGCTTTTATATAAATGTATCCAAATATAAATCAATTCTGTTAAACTCAATTATTTTAAAATCAATTCTACCAAACTCAATTCTGTCTAAATCAATGTTGTCCACCACCAATTCCACCATCTCAATTTTGTTTGTGGTTTTCGTATATGTGTGGTTTCACGTTAGGAGCACACATAATTGATTCTGGACGTTTAGAATTGATTTTTCCGTGTTTGGTTGCTCTCAAGTAGAATTGATTTTGATATGTTTGGTTGCTCTCAAGTAGAATTGATTATGTTTTTTAGAATTAATTCTACTCGAAGATAGAATTTATAGCTTTTAAGTTTAAATTTGATTTTACACTGAAATATATTGTTCAACTCACATTTGCAAGAATTTATCCAAACATAAAATCACTACTTTCAACGGACTTTTAACAATAATCAATTTTACATAATTAATTAACTTAAAAACAATTTTCTTCACCTCATAACTATACAAACATCCCAGAAGTGATAGATGCTGGTTGTTTATTGAGTAAATAGTCGTTTTGCTTCCTAAGTTGTTGTCCCAGAATGCATTGATTTTACAAAAACATTCCTAAGTATCTTGTGTTTGAAATTTTATGGATCAAATTAATTTAGCAGCTTATGCAGCCTAATAAAATACATGGATTACACATTTGGGAATTGTTGAGTATGACTCATATTCAGACAAAGAGGAACACAATATCTCGGACAAAGAGAGACGCAATATGTGGAAACTCCAAATGTGTCTTAGGTCGAACTGTTTGTTTGTTGTGGATAAGGTTCTGGGGTATTATCGTAAGCTGAGTCGTAGTATTATCTATATTGCTTGTAACACTAACTCTAATCAAGGAAATAAGAAGGAACTATAGCTGCTTTATAGTTGCATAGATAGACTTTGTTGACCGAACTGCGTTATAACAAAGATCGACCGTGTTCACTGTCTTTTACTTTCATTTTTCTTTAATCTTCTATACTGGTGGCTGTTCTAACACGAATAAAATCATATAAAGAAAGATACAGTTGAGGATGTTTTTGTATTTCTAATAAATTCTAGGACTATAACATCATAACCTATAACATATTCATGGATCAAAGTGACTCTTTATTAGTTATTTGTCTATAATTCACATTGGAAATAAGGTTTTGAATAGTGGTTGCTTCATGATCCTTAATATTACGAAGAATCATGATCAAATGCAGCTTATATGACCCCAAAAGCAGCCGCATTGTGGTTTTGGCGACAGAAAAACAGTTATATTGCAGAACTTTATTTAAAACCCTAATTGGAAGAGTGAGGTCTCTTCTTTTATTTGTAATTTTCCTAGAGGTTCACACGTCTGTTTATTAATCCTAAAAACTTTTGTATATGAAATTTCATTACTAAACTTATGTCTGATATGAAAGAAGTTTTAATCATACGCTTAGGTTTTCATACTAATATACTTTTTTCAGGTTTAACGTCTCACTTAGTAATTGCAGTATAGGTGATTCATGTGTAATTCACAATGGAGTCTGCATTGGTCAAGATGGTAAAGCTCAATTTATAAGCTTGCTTGCTTTTCTTTTTCTGGTTTTAATGCTCGCTTGTATTTTAATTTTAATTATAGTTAAGGAAAGTAGGAAACCAAGTCTTCTGCCGATGCCGCGATTTCATTTAACTCAAAACCAATCCCAACACGCTCATAAAAAAATATTTTATGTGGTTAAGAGACATTTAACTTTAGCAAAATATGGATCTTTATATTGAATAGATGATAATTGATCGATGTTTTGTTAGGGTTCGGATTTTATGTGGACGGTGATGGTAAAATGATAAAGAAGCCTCAGGTTGGTAATTTGATTTAATCCTATATACATTGACATATTATTTCTGTTTACCAAAAATTTCAATTTGCATAGATTGTACTAATAATATGAATTTCTTGCTTAAATCTGTTAGAAGCTGAATGTCATAATAGGGAGCAATGTTGAAATTGGTGCAAATACATGCATTGACAGGGGCAGGTTAGTTTTTTTTTTTATGGCTTATCATTTTCTATTTATCTTCATGATGTGTAAAAAATGGCGTTATAGTTTGATTTTCACTTGAAATAATGTTAGCTCTAATACTATTTTTATTCACTCTTTGGCTATGCAGCTGGAGAGATACAGTTATTGGGGACAACTCGAAGATAGATAATTTAGTTCAGGTTAACATTTAATACGTACATAATTACAAAAGCGAAAAAGTAAAATGGCTTTGTTCTTTTGTTCTAATTAGTTCTGCAGATTGGTCACAATGTAGTTATTGGGAAGAGTTGTATGCTTTGTGGACAAGTTGGGATTGCAGGCTCAGCAACGTATGTTATATTCATTCATTTCACTGTTACCGAGTAAATTTTGGGATGATTTATCTAGTCAAATACATCTTAGAACTAAAGTTATTACTGAGGCTTGTGAGTTTTCTTATGTGTTCAGAATAGGAGATTATGTGACTATGGGAGGAAGGGCAGCAGTGCGGGATCATGTATCAATTGCATCAAAGGTATGGTTTTGTTTCCGATCTTACGAGGCTATCCTCTCATAGCCCCGGTGCATTGTGGATGGTTAATGATTAGTGAATGAATAAGTGCTATAATGGTGTCCGAAAGGAAACTGGATTCACAGCAGTTAGCAAATGCCACATTCACACGGTCAAGATATTTATAGTCGTTGGATCGAAATCAGATGGTTTAAATGTAATAGAAGTTTGATTTTTAAAATAATGAAATACACTGATTTTGAAATATGAACCGTCTGATCTCGACCCAGCGATCACAAATCTGTGACTGCTTGAATGCGTTCGCTCACTGAATCGCAATCCATACTTTAGAGCTTCAAAACAGTCAAGTGGCACTGTGATTTTGTGAAACCCACCCATTCAATAATCAATCAACACTTTCATTTTCAATTGATGTTGTACTATTTTTACTGTCTGTAAATTGGAAGCTTGGGGTTAAGGAGAAGACATCTGATTGCAAAATGCTTGCAGGTTCGGCTTGCTGCGTTAAGTTGCGTAACCAAGGACATCACAGAGCCAGGCGACTATGGTGGCTTTCCAGCTGTAATGATCTACTAGTCTTATGCTCTATTCCATTTAGCGCAATAGCATTGAAGTTCATAGTTTGGCATACAATATATTATTGGGTTGGGTGGATTCATAAACCTCCTTCTTGATGCTTTGTAGGTTTCTATTCACAAATGGCGGAGACAAGTTGCTAGCGGTTTTGCAGTTAGGGGAGTCTGAGCACTCGCCTCAAGACTCTTGAAAAGCGAATGGATCATCTCCAATTTTTCCCTCATATATTCCATTATATGGTTAAGGGTTTAGGGTTTTGCAGTTAGGGGAGTCTGAATACTCCTCACGAGTCTTGAAAGGCGAATGCATTATCTCCAATATTTTCCTCGCATATATTCTACTCTAGGGTTTAGGGTTTTGCAGTTAGGGAAGTATGAGGTACTAAGAAACTGATCATCTTAGATTTTTCATGTCACTAGAGAATCTATTTTCAAAACACACACAAAATGTCAGTGCCTTAAACACATACTTATAATGGCTAACTTTGGCCAAACAACTTATGTTAGCAATTTTGTTAAAACTGAGGATTGAATTGATGCAAGTGTCAATAAACAGACAATTTTGGATAGATTTTCATTTGTTTTTCATGGTGCCTTTAAATTTTAGTTTTATTAATACAATAATTAATATTAATTTTTAAACTATTTAATATATTAATTCTCAATTGTCCCTTTGTTGGCTCCTAAATTCGACACCTTTGTTTCAATTGATGACAGCCATTAAAAGCTGAAAGATGCTTTCGACTGGCTAAGCCTGTCGAAGTGACCGTCGAAAGATGGCCAAATACTTAGAAGATTTCTTCCAAGGAAGGAGGCTGATTGCCTTCGACGTCGAAGGAGTTTTCGTCGAAGACGTCCCTTGACGAACGTGTTCGATGGTCCAGAGTGGAGCAGTTTGAAATTCAAAGCTTTGGAGGGAAAACGGTTTCCAGCAGTTACTACGTGCGAACGTGCAAGGATCTGGGGCGTCGAGCATGGAGAACGTGACAAGTGGCTTGATCTCGAAGCAGTGTAACTGCCCGACGGTTACTTGAAATGTTTTTGTATAAATAGGAGTAGACGTGTAGTTTCTCGCGGGTGTTCACAATAGATACATAGTCACTCATTTAGATTCAAGTACCCAGTGTGAGCGAACGAATTGTTGAGAAATGTATGTGTGAAACACCAATTTATTAATTCAAGTCATTTACTTTTCCAGTACTTTACATGCTTTTTCCCTTTAAGATTCCTGTCGAACCTTTACATTCAAGCTTTGTTTATTTTACCAAGCCTTTCCTTTATGCAATTTACTTTGAACAATTTACTTAAAGCCTTATCCACATTAATTAAACTTCAAAATCAACCTATGTCCATAGGATCAATCTGATCGATCCTGCGAGTAACCAAATAAGTAACCATTTGGAGGATCAGCGGTTGTTTACCAAATCCCCAGGTAAACAAATTGGCACACCTGGTGGGACTGTGTGTTGATTGTTGAAAAAATCTCATCTTTTCGAGTTGTATGTTATTGAGGAGTGGTAGAATATACACCAACGATAATAATACTGCCAGAAGAAGGGAAGAAATGGCGAATCCGCCAAACAACAATGAAATCCCACTAACGAGTGTGGGAGCAACGGTTAATATGACCGTGAGTGAAGCGACGAATGCTGGTTCGATACCAGCAGTGTCAGTCACAACCACGGGGCCGACAACTTCGTTTGCAGGCCCCAGAATGACTTTGGGAACCCCCCCTCCAAGGGGAAATACTGGTCCAAGGCCAGTGGTTCCCCCAGGATTTATTCCATTCTATGGTATGCCAACTTCTGAATTGGCAAGCCTGACGAATGCTGCGTCCACTTATTCAGAACCTTTCGTGAGTGCCACTTCGCCGCTCCAAGGCTCTGGAGTAGGCATGGCGAATAGAAATAGGACCCAACTCTTAGGAGGAACGGCCCAAGTAGCCCATGGCCTTACAAATGCCTCGACAGCAGTCTTGAGGCAACAGATGGACGAAAGCAACCATGATATGGTGCAAATGTTGGCACAAACTTTGAGTACAGTGCTAAATCCTCTAATACAAAATACTACTCAGTCGAATCAGCAAGTTACAGCGCAAATGACGCGTTTGGCTGACTTCTTTGGAGTACCCCCACCTATTCGACAGCCCCAAAGGGCGCAAATAAGAGGAAATCAGGGGATATTTGTAGAGGAAGAAACCACCATTAATCAGGCCCAACAGCCTGTAGAACAACCTGTCGAAGAACCTAGGGTAATAGCCCCAGAGGTAAGGTTAGTCAACAGAAACCAAAATGCTGACGAAGTGGTTCAGCATGTCCAATACCAAAACATGGGTTTGGAGAACAATCTGGCAACCATGATCGAAAGAATCATGACTCAGAATGGAATGAACATGGGCTTTCGAAGGCCCAACTTTACATCTCCATTGTCAGAATATGTGTTACAAACCGACTTACCCCCTAGAACCAAAGTCCCCAAATTTACTAAGTTCTCTGGGGACACGACAGAATCTACTGTCGAACACGTGGCTAGGTATTTGATCGAAGCAGGAGACATTTCAAATAATGAAAACCTAAGGATCAAATACTTCCCGAGTTCCTTAACCAAGAACGCTTTTACTTGGTTTACAACTCTACCCCCCAATTCGATCCACCATTGGACCCAGTTGGAAAGATTGTTCCATGAACAATTCTATATGGGGCAAACCAAGATAAGCCTGAAAGAACTGGCGAGTGTTAAGAGACGTTTCACTGAACCTATAGACGAATATCTGAATAGGTTTAGGTTGCTTAAGGCGAGATGTTTTACACAAGTGCCAGAACATGAGCTGGTCGAAATGGCCGCAGGTGGTTTAGACTATTCCATTAGGAAGAAGCTAGATACCCAGTACCTAAGAGACATGGCCCAACTGGCCGATAGAGTTCGACAAGTCGAACGCCTTAAAGCTGAAAAAGCTAAGGCAACAAAAACTCACAAGAGAGAGAGAATAGCTTACGTTGAGATGGATGACGAAGAGCTAGAATCCTTCGACGATACTTTAGCTGTCGAAGAAGGAGAAGTCGATTTAGCAGAACTAAAACAAGGGCCTCCATACTCTTGTAAACAGTTAGTCCCCTCAAATGGGAAAAATCCCATTGGTCCAGACAAGACCAACGATAGGTTCCCAAAAAAGACTTACAGTTTCGACATCACAAAATGTGATGAAATATTCGACTTGCTAGTTAAAGATGGCCAAATGATAGTACCCCCTGGGGTAAAAGTGCCTCCTCTTGATCAAAGAAAGAAGAGGGGTTTTTGCAAATATCATAATTTTTTGGGCCATAAAACTTCTCAATGTTTTCTTTTCAGGAATCTTGTGCAAGACGCTATTGAGGAAGGGAGATTAAAGTTTGCTGACAAATCCCCCATGGCTGTCGACTCCAATCCAATGAAGGCTGAAGCCCACTATGCAGAACCCTCTGAGGTGAACATGATAGAGGCTACCAAGATCCAGTCGAAGAAGCCAGGCATTAACATGGTCGAAGTCTCTAAGGACCACATCAACATGCCAATTTTTGGCAGTTTTTCTGGAAACCTATCCAGGAAGACAATTGAGGCTGTCCAGAAAGCGGTCGAAGACCCAAAGTCGAAGACTGCTGCAGTACAAACAACTGGACCAAAGCCCAGTTCCCACTTGGCCACTGTTCAAGGCCAGACGGAGAAACTGGAAACACAAATGAAACAACTAACTCTTGCTAATAAGGATACCATGAATATCAACATGGTTGAACTTTCTGACCCTAAAGCATCAGAAGAAGCCATAAGGCAAGAGCAGGCAAATAAAACGGCTTTCCCTAAGGAAAACGAAAACTTGGCAGATTTTTTACAAAGATGCCAGAAGAAAAAATCAGAGGTTATGCTATGCCCAAGATGTAGTTCTATCTTTGATAAAAAAGCTGCTGAGCACATACAAGGCGTGAGAGCAGCGAACAAGAGAAGGGAGAATTCTAACCTTCGACATGATCCCAGAAGGGGTTCTCATCAAGACAAGAGGCCTTCGACTTTTAGGCCTCCAACAAATGTACCAGTAGACACTTGGTACAAAACATCTGGCCGGAAAAGGCCAAGTGAAGAGAAATGGCATTCTTTCGAAGTGCCAAGAGGTTCCTCTTTAATCCAGAAGAAAGATCCTCAAGTTGCTGCACCCAAGGTTGCTCAAGTGTCCAGCAACTATAAGGGAAAAAATCCTATGTCGAGATCCCAATGGAGGAGGTATCAAAGAAGGCGAAAAGCTGAAAGGGAGGCTGCCACTGAACCTAAGGCTGAGACTAGTTCGAATGTGCCTCAAAGGAAACAAAGAAAGCCTCTTGAGAGAGAACCAGTTACCAACAGGCTAGTTTGGCCTAACCAGAGCGAAGTCGAAGACGAAGATGATGCTGAGTCCGATGATACCCTGGATATAATGGTGAACGTTGTCTCAATGCTGCCTAGGGAATTCAATCGACAAGTAGAAGTCGAAACCAGCGACTGGGAGATGGAACAAGAAATGGCCAGACACAGGCCAGTGTGCTATTTTGTCATGAACAATGGCACTACAGAAGAACAAAATGGCTTCTTCGAGCCACCCACAGAGGCGATGAAGAATCACCTCAAACCTTTGTTCATAAGGGCCAAGCTCGAAGAGACCACTGTGAACAAGATATTGGTCGACTGTGGGGCCACTATCAATATTATCCCTCATTCGGTTCTAATAAAGATTGGCAAAAGGGATGAAGAAATAAAACCTCACAATATGGTCCTTTCCAACTATGAGGGAGGCATTGGGACCACCATGGGAGTGATCCAGCTCGACATAAAAGTTGGGTCGATCCTTCGACCAACAATGTTCATGGTCATATCAGCCAAACCTAACTACAACCTTTTGTTAGGTCGTGAGTGGATACATGGTGTAGGTGCTGTGCCTTCATCGATGCATCAAAGACTGCTTCTATGGCGCCCAGATGGGCTGGTCGAAAACATAGAGGCTGATCAGAGTTACTACCTTGGCGAAGTAAACCACTTGGGTGTAACAGATTTCGACAAAAACTTGGCTCACATAGGGCCATGTCCAGCTCCTGATTTCGACATGGCGCCAGCGCCAAACACCTTTTGTTCCCTATACCTGCATCCTGAGCATGGTTTCCAATGGGA